TGTAAAAGAAAGAGGAGCTAGAACTTAGTTTTTCCTTCCCAACAGTGATTTTCCTGTACTCATTCCTTCCAGGAAAAGTGTGTATAATAAATTGTCAAGTGCTGCTCTATTGATTCACAAAGACACTATATTATACCTTCTTTCTGCATAAAACAGGTAAAGTAATATTACAGCTGCTTTCTTGTGATGGCTACATTATCAATGCACTAAGCAAATAATATGAGATTGTCATATTCCCCTTGTTTTGCAATGTCAGAATACTATTTTTATCATCTGAAGACAAGAAGAGGCAGATCAATGTTTTTCTCTATCCAAGAGGAATACCCTATCCACTCTAAAGCAATTCAAAGGACATATACAGGAATTAAAGCATAAAATTAACTAAAATATTTAAAACTATCAAAATCTTCAATCTGTGGCAAGTGAATAACTATACTTCTTTTCATTTCTGATCATCAGGAGAGCTATTGAAGGTGCAAATAATAAAAGACATCTTTTGATTTGCATTTTCAAACATAAAGCCATAGCCCTGGTAGATCCTGATATATTATCCAAAAAGGAATAAACATAGTGTCTAAAGGGGCATTAAGAGTACTTAGTTTGTTTGAGACTGAAAGTCTTACTGTTCTTTCAAACAAAAGATACAATATGTACTGGAAAGATATTATGTTAGATACCAAAAGCATTCATAAGAAAGCTGCACCTTTTAGTTCAGCATGCTAACATCCACAGTAGGAGAGTTAAAATGTTACTATTCACTATTCAGTATTAATATCTAAAACTAGATTGCAGAGAAGAGAGAAAAAGAGAGCACATAAAGAAACCAACACACATTTTACTGCCCACATTGGTCCTCAAGATTTAAAAATCTTCCCCATAAAACCTGATGAAATTAGCATCTTAGGTGAGGACAGCAGAGCGCAGCGCACGTTGCAAAACAACCACGCAGACTGAGCTTAAAGTTGAATTCTTGAAAAGAGATTGAAATATTCCTTTCTTGGGACATTACTGTCTTCTTAAACTCCGTGGTGCTTTCCTCACCTGAATCAGTTTCCAAGTGAGAACAGGCCACTACTTCCAACATCACAATAAATACCAATTATGCTCTACTGGCATAGACCTACGTAAGTACAGATGCACCTCAGGGCAGAGATTTCTCAATTTACTTAATTCATCTCAGTCACTGATGTACCTCTCACTGATTCTAGAGAGAAATGGTTCCTAAGTTACAAATATGTTACTAGCAAAAATAGGACTTAAGGACTGCTCTTTGACCCTGAGCAGCACATATATTGATGTTACATTAAGCCTTAACCTGGGTGCCCTCTGTATCTCTGTAGTGTCCTTGTGGCCCTAGACATTATCATTATTTTATGTGGGCTTTTTACGTTTCAAAGTGTCTGGTGATAAGTATTGGAGTTTTCCTTCAAGTCATCACAGTAGTTCTTTCCCCTCCTCCTCTCCTTTTTCTTTGAGAACATCTGTAGAGCTTCACATGGAAGAAAGTAACAGATTTGCTCACTCATCTGGTTAGCGCATTTCCCATTGTGGGAAACAGCACTGTGTTTTACACACATTAAGCACTTTACATATGACTATGATTAATTAGAAAATTCCTTCTGTTGTCAGCTTTACATGCTGACTCTCACAGTACCATCAGTATTTTCCCAGCTGCTGCAGACACCAGAGGGAATAACGTGCTCCCCCCTCTCCTAGTATTACCACTCCTACTTAAAGGGTGGATCTCTCTCCTTCAGCCAGTGAAAAAGTTGGAAAAAAGAAGCGAAAAAGTAGAAATTGGGAGCCAAAATTGTGCCAGGAGAAAGCTATTCCTCTCTGTAAAATGACCAGTATAATACTTGTCACCAGAACATGTGCCACCCACTCTCCTAGGGACAGCAGCCTTGCCACTGGGATCTACATCTCTACAGCTTGACAGCTGAGACTTAATGGTGTATTGTTACACTTCCCAAGGACTAAATAATGTGTTCTTAACCCTTAAAGGAGGAAAAAATTTTGGTTTCAGGTTTTCAGAGTGGGAGTTGAAACAGTAAATTTAATTCCTCCTACACTCAAATATTAATTCCCTTATACATTCTTTTGTAAAAGTGTAGATAGATACAAACTTTTCAAACCTTCTCAGCTTACTCTTCTAGCCCCAGCATCTTTTGCTGCATCACACAAAACAAGGAGCTGGTTTATCAGCTAAAAGACATGCTCAAAAAAGTCCTCAAAAATCCCTCCATTCTTAAAAAGCATTAGAATTTCTCGCTCATGGACGAGTTCTTCAGAGTCTTTTTTTTTTGTCAGCTACCCTGCTGAAAGCCACTGCAGGTACACAATGGTTCCTGGGGAAAGAACAGGTATTTTTTACTGCAGCAGAGGTGATGCAGATCAGTCTGAAAGCCAACAGATCAAAGACACTGGTACTATATAGTGTTGAAATTAAGATTAAAATGTATCTTCGTAATAAGAGCATTGTCTGTTTTTAAAATTCATGCTAATCCATTTTAATAATCTGTGTATCCTAAAGCAGCAGAAGAAAAGCTTAAAGCACATGGTGCACAGCAACAAAAAAATCTGGGGAGAGTAATATACCAAATAAATCTCACATAATTCGTTTAATTGCTAATTGAGGGCAAGGTGAGGAAAGACTGGTATTTAGTTGATTAAAACAGCTGCCTCAAACAAGCCATTTGAAGTTATCACAGAACCATTTCAACTGGAGATGAAAGGATGCCAGGAAGCACCTTGGAGGCCACTCTGCGAATCCATACCATGACAGCTATCTCCTAATGGAGCTGTACTGGTCTCTTTCTTTCTCTTCCCCTCTCACAGAAATTTTCAATGGAAAGAGTGGCTCTTCAGCATTTTCTCTAATTGAACAGCTCCTGATTAGGTTTGCAGCAAAGGACAAGCAGCTGATTACAAGAACACATGGTATACTGATTAGGAGACTGCTATACCTGAGCAGACTAAGGTGCAAGTAACAAAGATTACCAGGAAATTAATTGAGGGAAATATGCTTGCCAGTGGTTCACTACTACAATGTTTCACTGGCAAAAATACTATGTCAGTAAATAAACTGTACTATTCAGATTAATTTAAAAAAAAATCATACATACTTTATTTCCTAAAAATCCCAAACATATGCTTTAAAAGTTTATAGCCAAAAGGAAAAAAGTAACAATTTTATGTTCTAAAATATATATTTATAAAATAATGCTATTATGTTGGGATCAATACTGTTTACAATTGGGAGAATTAATATTTTTTGATGGCTATTTTGAAAATTCTTACTTTGTAGAGTCACAGGTAAAGAACCTAGGCATGTTAAGGTCTGAATTAATTTCTTCTTTTCTCTTGCTCTCTGGATAAGACTTCTAAGGGTGCAGAAAACCTCAGCTGTTTTAAAATGAATATGCCTACCTCATATCAGATAGACTTATAGAAGAAAGGGAAATTCTCCTTAAGTGTCTTAGAAAACAGTACGATATGTCAGTATGATATCTACAGCATCTCAAAAATATTTTTGATCTAAATTCTGGGAAAGACTTTGGCCTTTAGAGATACAAACAGGTAAGCTGAGTGCACCTTGTGCTGAATACAAACAAATCAAAACCAAAAGTCTTCAGAAGATCTTCCTAAGCAGGGAAATTTCTTCTCTGACTTTTCTATCCAATGGGATTTGAGACACATGGTATAATCCACTGGGGAGAAGACTGTCACTTCTGCCTTTTAATAAAACCATAATCCTAAAGCAAATTTCCCCTGGAATAAGGCAAGGCGCTACAGGTACTACTCATTTTGCCTAAATGAGATACCTATCATGAAAGTCTCTGCCACAGTTTCTCACCTTGGACTCTCCTTATAAGAGAAAAGTAAACTTCTAAGGCCTGCAATATATCTGTTCTAGCACAGACAGCTCCATTAGTCTCGAAAAGCACTTATCTTTCTCCACAGATTACAAATGACGCCAAGATATATCGACCATATCAGAAGTTGTCCTCTCCATGGTAAACAGACGCCACACACACAGGTTCAGAGATATTGTACAGCACATTAAAACGCGTGTTCCATGGTCAGTGGAAGCCTGGATCTTAAGTCTTCTGCAGCCCAAAGTGAAACAAGCATCAGTCCCAGGGAAGAAACAGTTATACTCAACTGTCTTTGTACACAGCTTGCTAATAAATGATACTTAGTGGAATATTTCTTATCTCGTAAAGAAATTGTGAACATTTGGGGGGTTAGTATTAAATTTCATGGCTGAAAGAGAAGCGCTAGAACAATGATAAAAACTTCAAAATGACTGAATAGAAAAGCATAAAAGCATGGAGACAAAAAGAGACTTACACAGTCGACAATCATTGAAACAGCTTTAAGAAGACTTCTAAAGACTATTGAGGTGAGTGACATAAAAAGACATATATTGAATTGTAGAAATTATGCACCAGGGAAATTTAGGGTAGAAAGAGACACAGAGGTAAGGTGGGGAGGACTTGAAAAGTTCTGCATTTGATAAAATGTCTTTCACTGACCACAGATCAGTGAAAGACTGCTGAAAAATTCAATGGAAGAAAACCATCAGCAAGGGAATACACCAGGTCACTATGTCATAAGAGAAACCTGGGATATTTCTAAACCTAGGTTGTGAACTCAGCACCTTGAGCAGATGTTATCTGTTGCAACACAGAACATCCTGATACTCATGCTTATGGCTATAATGGATGATGCAAAATATTCCTGCAAATTTTGTAAGATATTTAACAATTCACATCAAAAACCTCAATCTTAGCATCAGAAAAACATCCAGTTCTAAAAATCAGAAAATATCATAACTAAAAAAATATATATTAATTATTAGTTGAAAAATTAATGTTCGGAGAGTGAGGAGGATGGGCATTTCCAGCTGAAGACAGTATTGTAGTAGGCACTACGCAGTTTCCATTTAGCACATATTCAGTCTAACCATTATAAGTTTTCTTCACAATCACACTTACCAACAATTTCACTTGGCTCCTTATTGTAAAGTTTTTTGTTCCAGTAAAGAAGTCTGAGAAAAGGAAAGGACACCAGAACAACAAGGCAGATACCCAAAAACATATGCCCTGTGAAGGCTGCAAAATCCAATCCCTGAAAATAAAAACAAAAACCTAAATTAAAAATCATTTCTCTTTCTATATTACCTACAGGGAAAAGTATTCAGCTTTATGTACATTAACCATCAATAGTAAATATAAGGTGATATAGTAAGTTCCAAGTACAGAATCAGCTGTATTTCATCTGCTTCAAGGAAACAAGTCATGTTAAAATTTAACTCAGAGAACTAAAACATTGCATTACAAGTTACTCTGAAAAACACCTAGTGTTCCTGAAATACAGTAGAAAAAACCCAAACTGAATCATTAACTTTTACTTCTCAATTAAATCATTGTAAATTCATTCCAAATCACTCAAAGTCTCAGACTGGTGACAAACAAATGTTTACAATAATTCTATCTGAACCATTCCTCTACAATAAAGTATTATATGTCAATATTGTGTTCATCCTTCTTTCTGGTTAATAAATGAACAGATCTCTTTATATTTTGTGCAACAAAACCTTTTAACGAAGGGATTTTTAAAAAGGTTAAGCAGAACATATTAAAAGGCGACCGCTTTCAAGCAATAAGAATGAATAATGAAAACTTGCCCTAAAACCTTGAAGTTTTCCAAGGCGTGAGTAGGACATTGGACTAGATGACCTCTAGGGACTCTTTCAAATTAGTTATTCCATTGTTCCACGTTGCACACATTGTTGTGGATTGGGGTTAGCCTTTGGGCTGGGCTTTTCTGAAGTAGCCATGACTCTCCGGTCCAAAAGAATTTACCCATGGAGCGCCAAGGAGGATCACATCCAAGTACTCTGGTAGTAAGGAACTGTCTTATATTCAAAAAACAGAGGTTGTCTGAGCTGGTGATCCCATCAGAGCAGATCTGTGACCCCTGGAATACAGCATAGCTCAAGCCCTGGATATCCCAGGTTGTCCCAGCTGAATTTTCAGAGCACCCACTGATTTCCCAGAGACTCCAGAAAGTCAGCTGTTCTCCCTGTGACACACCTTTGTGTCTCTATTGTTCCCTGATTTTTAACTGTGAGTTTCCTATATATCCTTTGGTAATTCCAATGCATATTAAAAACAGCTTCACTTTCAACAACAGATGATACTACCTCCAGTGTGTTAAGGCTATTGGAAACTTATTGCTTTAGATGTGTGTTCTTCGATATTGTCAAATGCTAAAAGAATTTATGTGGAAATTTCCTAGTTGAAATGTCTCTGGTTCAAAAAAAGAAAGAAGTTTCTCTATTGCACCACAGGGCATAATAAAAAGACACATAACACAAGAAACTGATGACAGTCATAAAGAACTTTCATACCCAGATAAAGATTGGTGCTCTTTGGCAAAAAAATCCATAGCTTCCAGACAGCGAATAAATCTCAAACCATAAATATGCAGACCTAGGATTAGAATTCGATCCTATTAAAATACAGGCTTAGGCTTCCTGAGGTAATGTCATCCCTACTTGCTATTTAATAGTAGATTCCTTGACTCTTCTACTCTCCAGACATTAAAAGGTGAAACTATACCTGTTCATTCACTGGCCTTTTGCTGTAACTTAGCTACAGCCATTGCTTTTATGAAAGCAGAAGGAAGACTCTTCAGGAATTGGAATGAGATTATTTTAAGAATTGGACAGAAAAAAAGTGACACAAAGAAAAATAATGTTCCCTCATTCAGTTTGCCTACAAAATAGGTCAGCCACTCAGGTGTCTGACATCTCTTTAAGACATATTTTACAAATCAGTTTTTATAAAGATTGGCCTCTGGGCATCAAGTTAAGATTCAGAGCTACAGGAGACATTTCTATGAGGGATGAAAACAACACTCATAACTCTAGGAAATTTACAAATGAATAAAAAATTAATTCCTGCAAAGGCTCAGTGTTTGTGAGACCTGCCCCCAAAGTACATAAACTCCATATCCCCCATGTTTATTTCCTTAATTACAACCATTGACAATAAATTGACAATAAATCTGATTTATATATGGGTCCCCTCTAAGATTATAGCCAGAAAGAAAGATCATAAAATTTTGGCCAGAAAAATAAGAATGTTAAACCTTAAAACGTGAACTGGCTTTAGTTCAGATTTTTTCCAGCTTTGACAGCGTGCCATTAAACAAGTCAGGAAGTATGCAAAATCATTATGCAGTTTGGTATGATCACTAAAATAGCACAAAGAGAGGTAAGAAGCCAAAATTATTTAAGCTGTAAAAACACTGAAGCTACACCAGCCAAAATAGAAATGCCTAAACCTGACTGGAAAAAAAGAATTATCCTCTGAAAGAAAAATGACTGAGAAACAGGTGGCTGAAGAACAATCAAGTAGTTAGGAATAGTAAGATTATACTCAATAGAGAATTACCAGAATGAGGAAAATTACTTTGCACTCAGACTAGTTTTACAAAGAAGCAGTGGAGATGAAGCTTTTCTTAGGCTGGCAGCAAACCCATTATACCCACATCATGAAGAAAGATGACAGCTACCAGGCCAACTATGATGGTAGAAATTCTCTGTAGAAATATGCAGAAATAAAGATAAAATCTAAAGTAGGAAGTAAAAAAGATAAATAGGAACCAAATGAATTCTTGGTAACTCTTAAGTTAAAATATGTGGTATCTTCATCATGTATTAAAGGATCTTGAATTTAAGGAAGTAGCTTAATGCAAATTAACACAAATACAAAAAATCACTTGCCTTTACATTTTTACTATCTCACCAATTTCAAAGGAAAAAAAATTGTGTCTGGTTTCTGAAATGCCACAATGCAGAAGCTTCTCAAAATATACAGAACAAGAAATACGTCACTTGAAAGCCACAAAACTAATTTCTCGATGAAGAAAATCACCTCAACCCAGAAGTCAAACTAAAATGCTGAGGGTAAGAAGGATGTCTCAGGTCTGACTCATAGTTGAAAGGAATTGAAATGAGATAGAGGTCACAATACCCTTAAAAAAAATCAGGATTAACACAGCTTCATGACATAAGAGCTGACATAGATAAGCCTTGAAAGTGATTTGCAGACAGCATCACAAGAAGGGAAAAAAAAAAGCCTACTAGATTTTTTGACATCCAATCCAAGAGCTTACCCAAACTTTTCAGAGGGAGTAGCTGGGCTGAGATTCAGGATTTTGTATAAGTTCATAATATCAGCACATTGATCTTTCATATCTCTGAGATCCCAGGTGCAAAAGAAAACATGCTGCTCTGCTCTTGCTGCAGAACAGCTTTCCAATTCAGCTGAAACAAATTCTTTTCTAACATGAAGTGTGCCTATTTCAGGACAGAGCTTGTACGATGGGGTTGTCAGTGGTAACACAGGACTGGAGTCAGTTCTCTTCCCATCATCTGCTCCTGACTTTGCCCCCTATTACCTCCCTGCATTGACCCACAAGAGACAACGAGTGAAAATTAATCTTGATGATCACTAGCCTTGAACAGCTGATGCCCTGTAGCCATGAGGAGGCTGAGGACTACCAAGTGCACTACTTTTTATGGCTGATATCACAAAGGCTCACAGGACAGCCGCCCTCCCTGATGCTTTGGGCTGGGCGCTTAGAACAGCCTCTCTGCAGCACAGGGAAAGTGTTTTCAGGGAAAAGGCTGATTTCACACCAGGCATTGTCAGGTAGCAAGTAGCCAGCTGGCAGCCTTTTGGGGAACTTCAAGAGACCAAAGGGTTTTTACTGTACCACAGGTGCCCAAGATGCAGAAGAGGATACCAAGGTAGTGGCACAGTTGCTTCATCAGTTGCCCCTGTTCCTTTCCCCACACCCCAGAAAGGACACAGAGCCTAAATTCATACCCTTTGTGGCTGTGGAAAGCACATTTTATACCTCCTGAGTCTTCTGCGCTGCTGGAGCCAGGATTCAGCATTGTAAAAAGCATTAAAGTGCTCCCCATGTCTATTGCATACAACAAAAAGTCATTTTCACAAAGATTTTCTTTTCCTGCACAACTGGAATAATGCACAATAGGCAAGAAATATTTCTCTTCCAGGAGATTTCAATCTGTGAGATAAATACAAAACACTCTTCAAATGCCCCTTACTTGAGTCTGTGATGATTGTGTCAAATTCTTCTTGTTCCCCAGCCGAGAGAAAATCTAAAGATTTTGTTTCAGCAAGCCTAGAGGTTCCACTGCCTACAGATTCAGAGCTGAAACAGAGTGGGCATCTTTCCTTGGTTTATAGTTTAAAATGCAAAGTCAAATATATCAATTTCATATTAGGAGGAAATATCATATTGTTTTCCTATAATACTATCATCTTGATTATTAATTTTTCCTTGCTTCTGGAAATGTGAAATTAAATTCTAGTAATTCAGACCTTTCCACAAGAAATCTGCCTTTTAAGACCAATGAGAAAGCAAAAATTATAGCTAGGTGCAGCGATTTGGGGGAGCAGCTGTGTTCCTAGCCAGAATGCCCTTTACTTAATATTTTAAAACTAATAAAATTAAGAAGAGCAAGAGTAATTTATTATTTCTACACTGGCTTAAACTTCCCTTCTAGCTGAGTGACTGAGATCTGCATTGTCTCTCATGGGAGCTGCTCATGATGTCACAGAGCCAGAAATCACTAATGGTCTAACCCAGTTACATGAAGATAATGTTTATTTGAGATTCTTATGAACCTCCTCTTTTGTTTTACATTATGCTGCTTAATGATTACCACATGCATAGACAGTAAAAATTCCAAAATCAGATGTTAGCCCATACATTTTAGTTCATGCACTTTACCTAAGTTTAATTTTCTCTTGAGAAAAGGAATCAATGAAACATCGACAGAAGGGGTAGAGCTCTACAAGTTGATTAAAAGTTTTAACAAGTTTGTATCCAGCAAACTCAACAAAAATGGCCTACTGAACTGTGGGAATCCATTTTGCCAGTGTTTGAAATATCTTTAAAGATTCATATATAGTATTTTCTCTCCTTTTTTTTTTTTTTTTAGAAGTTCCTACTTTAACTCATAAATTTTTTTGTTACCACGATTTTTCATTAAATATAACCAACTAATATCACATCATGCTAAATTACATCATGAAGGCTGATGGATCTAGGCTTCCATCTAAAAGGCAGCACAAGAAAACCTGATGTCTGTCAATTTTCCATGAAATTCCTGTTAAATGGCAGGAATAATTCTGAGTGATATGCTGAAAGCCCCGAATCCTCAGCAGACATCAGATTAACCGCACAAGTTTTATCACATCCTAACAAAAACAGTAAATAAAAGGATATAATCCAGCAGCTAGCATATGCTAAAACTGCCTTTGCCCTTATCATTACCTCTTTTATTCAGATTCAGCCTGGATACACCAGTGCACATGTTCAGTATCACTATGTTCACAGCAGCATTTTGCTCTGGAGACTTATTTGCCATCCATTCTTTAGAGAACTTGGAATCACAGCCTGTGCTTAGAGCACAGCAATTTCTGATGTCAAGGGCATGTTTGTAGAAGTTTGTGCTGTTCTCAAATACAGATTTTCTGTCCAACCCTTCTGAGAGTAAGGAACACATCCAACTGGATCATGCTCTATTGTGCATATAAACATGGAGTTCCCAAAGTCTGAAACCCATATCTCTTCAAAATTAAAATATAATTTTTTTAACAGTGGCCATTCTGTAGCAGCACTCTGAAGACAGTAAAACACTAAAAAATGTTCTATATTCACTAAACAAGTTTTCCATTTGCTCTTGTTTTCCTTCCCTAAAATCAAAACATAAATTCTGTCTTGTGAAAATATTTCCAATTCCAACTAAGAACCAAGAGTACAACAAATCTTCCTCTCCTGTTATGCAAATGTTCCACTGATTCCAGTCATGTTAGTAGGGAATATGTCAGGATTATAAATTAACAATGGCTACGAGGAAAAAATCCTTTCGACATTCATCTCAAGAAAAGTAAAGAGTCTTATTGATACATTTTAATGAGCAATATGTTACAAAAACCTTATTTATTCAGACACAATTTAAATAAAATATTTTTAATATTTTTTAATATTTTTTAAATATGATGTGACTTTTCCCCAGAACCTACAGAAAAAAGTCTCTCCAGCACCACAGTAAACAAAATGTAAAGTATTTCTAGCACTATAACCAGATAACAGCACCCAAAGTAACAAGGCTACATTTCATTTCATATTGATATAAAAGCCAAGGTTTCATACAAAAGTGTAAACTTGCATAATATTTTACTTGGATGTTTTTAGGGGTTGATATACAGCCATAAAAGTTTGGGAAGACTGGTAAAATTCTCATCCTGATAGCACCTAAATAAAGTAGTAAACCAAATCATCTACATAGAACAGTTCATTATTCAACTTCCTGCAGGGGCAGTTGTCAAAGCACTCTGGTACTTACTGTGAAAAAATGACACTGAGAAGGAAGTACAAGAGAATGAAAAGGAAAATTTCAACAAAAATATAAAGGGGAAAAAATCCTAGAATTCCTAGAATGTCTAAAAACCTGACCATAATGCTAAAAGAGTTTAAATAAACCAAGTATTTTCTATAGAAAACATCATCATAGAAACTATAAAATATACTCCATGAAGGAGTCATGCAGTTTATTTTATATATATATATATAAAATGACATTTCTAAGATGTCATTAATGCATTCAAGAACTTCTACCTCTGAAACAATTCAAAAAGAAAGGAGTAAAATAAATTTGGCTTGGTACTGAGTAGGCTCCCCATGCATTTTAGGCACAGAACTCATATAACCCTTGTTCACAGAACCCTTTATTAGAAGTAGTTTCAGAAACAAGAGAGCAATGTCTATATTTCTCCTTCTAATCAAAAGAGATCATGCTGGAGTGGGTGGACAAAATTAGGAATCCAGTTCAACAGCTCAGAGTGTAAGAGGCCAGATGGTCCAGCTCCCTCTCTGACCTCTCTCTTGGCTTTATCCAGTTACCCCAGCCAGCACTCTCTAGGCAAATCTCCCTTAGAAGGGGTGAGCCCTAAGCAGTGAGGACATATCCCAGACCATAGCACTCTGCCTCAGGGCCAAGGGTAGGTCTTTGACCTCTTTTATTTATATACATAGACATAACAATTAAGAATATAGAAAAGAAGCAGCGTAAATTCCATGGCCCTGTGTTGAACCTAATCTATTTCATTACATTTTTACTTGTGTGATGCAGCAAAAGATCTGAAAATAATCCAGACTGAAAACATCTGGAAAGATTTTTGTCCTTGTTTCAGATACAGAATTTGCTATAATGTCATATTTGCTAGAGTATTTATACATCTGAGTCCTCCTAAAAATATCAATGGCTCAAACAAGAAAAATGTAACATGGTTTCTTTTCAACTCTGATTGCTTAATTATTTCCCATGTTTATAGCCACTTCTAAAGGTTCTATAGAGATGGTAAGTTTCTGAGTATTTAGGAAAATGACCTTTATGGCAGGTGTTAATTATTCTCTTTCAGATCAGAAGTTTAAAATAGGTGCACAGATTTCATATCTAAAATGTAAAACTTTGCCATCAGTTTCTCAGCTAACAATAAATATTACAGTCTTCAAAGTCACCATCCAAACCAGCCAACAGCAGTACCTTTCAAATATTTTGATGTTAAACATTCAGTTTATTAAATACTATGAACTTTCAAAGACCTTTTCCAACCTGGACAGCACTTAATTAATTTGAGTGCATTCAGTTAATTAGAATGGATCTTTGTTTCCTAGAGCAATAGAAATACAAGGGTCTCTGAATTTTAAAATAAATAAATAAACCTAGGATTTTATATTACAATTCCTTCATTCCACTTGCTCAGTTGTTTTCCCACTACAATTAACACTAAATTTCTTTATTTTGGGAGTGGGGGAGGTGGTGGTTTCTGACACCTGGCCAAAAGAGAAAGTACATGCCTGGTGTCCTTAAAGATGTGTCCATTATATTCCTGCTCCTTGTTGGTGGCAATGCAGGGTGAGAAGAAGGGCAGATCTGCCCCACCCCAAGAGGGGCTGCCTCTTGCATCCTGAGCAGACCCCACAGCAATCAGGGAAAGGGGATGGGAGACAGTGCCAGAGGCGGAAGGAAGACTTGATGCCCTGCTGTTCAGAGGTAGCAGGGGTAGCTGAAAGCACAGAAAACTCAGCAAACTCAGCTTCACGCAGATGCTGAGGGCTGCAAACACTTGCCAGCGGTACCACAGCCAGTCCACAGGGCAGAGAGACCTATGTGGGTGGGAAGAAATGGTGGGACTGGGATGCTCCTGCTGTCTGGTTCATGTCCTGCAGTCCCACCCAGCACCAGCCACCATAGCTTTCCCTTTGGTGCCAGGCACACAACAAACAATAGAAGAGCCGAGTGTTGGAAGCTAAAATCTGTCACTGCAGCCTGGAGATAGCAAAACACTGTCAGGAGGTGGGAGCCAGCTGCAGCCCATGCTGCACGGGAGAAGTGCCCCACTCCCTCTCATGCCCCCACATCCCCTTGGGCTGTGCCTGAAGGGTAAAGTGGCTCACGTGTGTCATGGCTCTAGAGGGACAAAGCAACCTCTCTGTAAAATGTCAAATTGTCTCATATTTAACATTTGAGAGAAAACCTATACTGAAAAAATGGGTGGATCATCATTTTCACATTTTTGGTTTTTTTCCACCTTGCCCTGTCTGCAGCCCTCCGTCGTCCTGTTTCTTTCCTCATTTTGTCATTTATAAGGAAATCCTCTCCAACAACAGGAAAAGGAAACCAGTATTCTCAGTCCAGATCAAAAAGTCTATTCTTTATCACTATTTTGTCCCCAAAAGATTGCTCTCTTCTATCTGATCATCCTACAAAAAAAAAAGTAGATTATGTTCTGTTTATATGGCTGTCTGGGGGAAGAGAAGGATCAACATTGCATAGGTCAACACACTACTTTATTTTAGTAGCCAAACGACTGCAGTACATACCCTCTTCCTCAGCTCCTGCTTTGAAACAATAATCACATTTGGAGGATCTCCAACAGCAGTGGCAGCCCCCCCAATATTTGTGAAGATTACTTCCGCAATCAGGACGTGCCTAGGATCAAGATTAAGTACTTCACAGAGCCTGCAGTGTAAAAATAATGAAATTAACTTCTTATCCCATGCATAAATTGCCTGAAATCTTAAAATGCACAAAAATTACAAAATGCAGTCATTTCACAGACAAATTGCAGGATTTTAAATACAATGTGTCAATAAAGTGTATTTGAGCATTTATTGTGCTAGAGTAATTGTAACAATATAAATTAAAATTTATAGATTTTCTTTACATTTAAAGTGCAATTATTTATGCCTACAAAACTGATGCATTTTTAAAAGCATTTAATTAAAAGTAGTCAACTATTACAAGAATAGGACTACACAGAAAATAGCATTTCAGGTTTTCAGTGTGATACAGCTTCTGAAACCATAGTCTGTAAGCTGCACTGACCATGGTCCTTAAGGTGCACTGACCTGTGGAAAACTACTCTGGTCAGCCACAGGCTCTGCACTCAGCAGCAGTGATTAACTTTCTTATGGAAGCAGTGGTAGAGGATTGAGCAGGCTGCCTATTAGCCATGAATCATCTATTAGAGATTTCAGCTTTCAGGCTAGGTTAATCCAGTTTATTCTGTTCCCATTTTCCTCCTTCTCTAAAGCTTGATCATGAGTATTTCTATTTGCAATGAAGCAGGAGCAGAAAATATACATTCCTTATGGTTAAAAAAATCTCAAAATGTTTTCAGCAGTTCAAATATATTTAATACTTATTTAGTAGGATGCTGCTTTGATAAGAAAAAGTAAAATGCTCCTGTAATAAGAAGCACCTTAAAGTGCTCTGACAAACACTGGTGTTGACTCAGTAACCTCATGATCTGTTTGAGCTCAGAGCCCACTTACACAGAGTAATCTTCACACAGATTACTCCAACTCACAGATTACATTTACGCACACACCCGCATAATCCACTCTGCTCTGAAGTACGTGTTTGACTTTAAACTCGGACCGTGGTAATAAAGGCTGAAAGTTCAAGTCACACCTAAGCACTCACAACTTATCAAAAGGTTGCTCCAGAAGGTAAAGATGGAGGCCACACTTAAATTATTGTCCTCTATATCTCGTAATAGATGGGGGGAAGAGTGTGCAGGAAGAATGTTTTCTCACTGCAATTCTCTCACACATTTCTGTAAAGAAGAGTTGAACTTCACTTTTTAACCTAAGTCGGTGTTATTAAAACCTACATTTCAAAGAGAAAAGAGTATATTGCAAAAAGAAGTTTAACCTGATTCACTTACACTATCACCAAGAGTGTCAATTTAAATCTCAGAAAAAACACTGTCAGATGGTAAATATGTTAGCACATAAAAGCTCTGGAAAATAATAACTGTGCAAAAATACACTATTTCCTTGGCAGCATGAAATCATTCAGTTAAAGGGTACTTGGTAGTACAACTGGTCCAAATGTATCGATTGTGGTACAAGACTACAATTGTACTTGCAATTTTAACTCCGTTGCTCCTTGATTTCCCAGTATTTCAAAATACAATATAAAATTTCTTTAGTGATTCTTCCTTTTTGGTGGATCTAGTAGTATCTTGGAAAGAGAACTCTAATTGAAGTAAGAAAAAGCTAAGCCCAAAATATAAAACCATCAGAATGTCTTAGCTGTATAGCAGGAACACAGTTCCTCAACTATCCTGGTTATATAATTCCTCATGTAAAAATATTAGCCTTTTCCCGTTCCCAATAACAGAGTATCTTGAAAATGAGCAACAGCTAAAAGGGGGTAGTTATTATTTTTTTTAGCAGCTTATTACAAAATGCAGAATGGAACAAGTATCATGTTTTACACCTTATTACAGGAAATATAAACCCTTATGTTCGTAGAGTCAGTACGATTTTCTGCAAGCTTTATCTCCATGGCAATGGAGTCTGCACAGTGCAACACAGTGGAGCTGTAGACAATAGGAGTGAGATAAAAAAGAAAATGACCCCCAGCATGAAGCTTTTTGAAGTAGGCAATTACTTGGCTTTAGTAGGTGAGATAAAATTTTATTTTTGTTTTGATAATGATTCAAATACAAATGTTTCCCACATACTGAGTTTCCCCTTCTTCAGTGTTACAGGCTCATTTAGTATAAAACAAAAGGACTTAGTATAGATTTAGTACAAAAGTCCATTACTTAAATGTGGTTACAAAGGCAGAGACTCTCCCTTCACGAGGGTCCACATGGAGAAGACAAGAGGCAACAAGTACAAGGGAGAGATTTCACCTCAACATAAGAAAAAACAGTTATGGTGAAAGCAATTAACTGCTGGAACAACCTCCCCAGGGATGTGGTAGAACCCCCATCACTGGAGGTTTTCAAGATGTGATTGAACAGAGTACCAGATAATCTCATCTAGGTTTCCTTTCCCATGAAAGGTTGGAAGAGACCCTTCGATGTCCCTTCAACCTGGGCTATTCTAGGATTCTTTGAAAACAGAATAAATGTTACCATAGCTCTGACTGTGAAAAGGTTTTTATGCTACATTGACTTCTGGATTTCAATCCATTCCCAAATTATATTTATCCAATATATTCTGCAACACAGCTAAAGAAAACTTGGTGTTTAATAGTTCCAGTTCTGCTTACTGCTAAAAATGCAATTATTGATTAGGGTACAGCAAAGCCATCTCTTTAAAATATAATCAGACAGAAGACAAATGGAGCTTTCATTCACCAGCTGTTTCCAGTCTAGAATAAATGCCACTTGCAAAATTGTTTTTTACTGCTTTACACTGCATTTTAAAGAGGGGGCATATCTTAATAGAATTTTGTGTACTTCAATGTGATAATGACTGCAAGCATTACATCTCTCAGGATCATTTCTAAAATGCACTAGATCTTTCTGAAACTGAACTGGATTAAACAGATTTGCCTGACCAGACACAAGTTAAATTCAGGTTAAACAGTAATTTATAATCCCACATTGATTAAATGTAGTTGCAAATCACATGTTATTAATTTACAGAAATCTGAAGTAATTAAATTCACGGTTGTCTGCTCAAAGTTCCAAATACATAACCTGAAACTGTTCAATTAACCACTAGCTGTCCTAATGACATGATCACCAACAGGAATAAAATTCAGATTCAAGAATAATGCTGTTAGTTGAAAAATGGACTTTTTAAAAATTTGTCACTAATATTAGAAGGCATAACAATTTCACTAAAACATAAATTACTATCTAAAATTGTATATAAATATTATCCAGAAAAGGATAAGGTAGGTTTAATTTAAAAATTCTGTCTGCTTTACAGGAAAAAAAAAAATCATCTGCTAGGGAGCATTTGGTGCAATATGCTATTGTAGTTGAGGTATGAAGAAAAACCAGAATGATTAGCTGCCAAGGCAGTGTTCACAGGTTTCAAATATGTGCTCAATATTAATGCAAAGGCAAAAGGCAACCCATCCCTCTGAAAGTGCTAGTTTTTAATTCTACTACAATAAGATTATTTCAAGTTCTGATTTGCATTCAAATTACTAAAAAAGAAATCCAAACAAGTATTTTGCACACATGTCCACTAGTGATTACTGGCTACAAAAGACCAAGTCCAAAACCATAACAATAAAATACCTTATGGTTACTGGAGTAAAGAGCAGCATAGTGGTAACATTGTCCAAAAATGCAGAAAGAATTGCAGCAATAAGGCACAGAAATATAATCATGGCCCACACCTTGCCTCGAGAAAACCGATAAGCCTAAGAAAAACAAACAGAAGCAAAATTAATGAACTAGATCACTCTAGCTTAGATTTCAAAAAATTATAGCTATAGCAACTTGATCAAATTCAAGCAAAAATGATCTCAGAGCATTTGCTATTCCTTTACTATTACTCCAACAGCATCCTCTCCAATACTAAATAACTTGGGGAGAAAATAATTCATGGAAGTGGGCAAACAATCCCATCATGCAAAAGAAACAAGTCTGAAGAAACACCACACTCTGCTGCCAGTCATAAAGGAGGTCTGTGGCAGAAGAGGGGCTGAGCCCCCATCTTCTGCCTGCATGCCCAGGTGGACTACCATGGTTTAGACCTCCCATCCTCTCCACACCTAGGACACATTTCCCATCCTCAGAACAGCACTGCTGGACTGAGTCCAGAGGAGGGCCACAAACAGAATCAAAATACTGGAGCACCTCTCCTATGAGAACAGGCTGGAAGAGATCTGAGTTGTTCAGCCTGGAGAAGAGAAGGCTCTGAGGTCACAGCACCTTTCAGCACCTAAAGGGGTTCAATAAGACAGCTGGGGGGAGGAGTCTTTGGGTAAGGGTATGTAGTGATAGGACAAGGGAGACTGGCTTTAAACTGGGAGAATAGGTTCAGATTAGATAAGGGAGAAATTCTTTACTGTAAGGGTGGTGAGACTGCAACAGGTTACCCAGAGAAGCTGTGGATGCCCCATCCCTGAAATGGAAGTGGTCAAGGCCAGGCTGGATGGGGTTCTAAGAAATCTGCTCAAGTGGAAGGTGTCCTTGCCCATGGCAGGGGGATTGGAACACGATTGAAGTTTCTTCCAACCCAGACCATTCTCTAGTTCTATGGCTGTGATTCTACGAATTACACTTTTCATGTAATCTTTTGTTCTGCTACTATGCAAAGGTCTGTGGCCTCTTCTCATGTGTGGTCATAAAGTTAATGGTAGCTCCTATATTTCTTCTGTCCCACTGCCAAGCACAAATAGAGAGTTCAGCTACAGCAAAACTGCAATCCTGGGGAAATCAGTGAAATACTCAGCTTAATAATGTCCAAATGCTTGTGTACCCTACTGGGGACCTTTAACATTCTCCTGTAGAAAAAAAAAATGTGTTAAGGGCTTCCTTTCATCGACAAAGGATTTTTCCAGTATTACAACATGACCACTGTCATTTCTAATGTGATAAGTATATGTTGACCTTAGAAAGGTTCTTTAAAGATCAAGCTTGGTGTGACAGATTTGAATAAATACTAACTTGATAAATTTAGAAATAATTATAAGTACCAAATAAACCCACCTTTACTGCACAATAGTCAAAGAATCCGGTCTCTGAAAATATGGCCACCAAAACCATCTACCAAAAGATGAAGAAAAATATAATCACTTGGAACTGATATATAAAAGTAATTGAATTATTACTCAAAACTAAAGCAAAGCAGTTTGTGATTCTGACAAACAGATTTCTTATCTGACATGGTTTTGAAAATCTAATCACTCTTAAATTAGAATATCCACTACAACTGCCAGATATCTCTAGTTAATGTATCATATGGTGAAATATACTTCTCAACATAAGCAGTCTGTAAATGTCATACAAGTCTAGTTGAATTTTATTTGTAGTGAATAAGTGGACATCATACATTAAGTACTCAATGTATCTCCCTTATATCATTAATCAAGAAAAAGCAATAAGCATGTTTGCTCTCTGCAGTGATACTCTATAGAGCACAGAAGATAAGAACTGATTGCATTTTCCCCTCATCTGAGAGGTCTCCTGTCCTTCTGTCTTTGCTCCCAACAGATTTTTTTTTTTTTTTTTACTTTTTTTTTCTGTGGGGAATGCAAGGACTAGTGTCAGGAAATAAGAAAAGCTCAGAATGGAAACAGATAATTGTAATTTTGTCTCTGTGTATTGTATGTTTTGTGTTAGACTCTAATAGCACTCGGACAATGCATTTTACCACAAATAGCTCTGGGCAAAGTGATTAAAATAATATATGATTATAATCTCATCAGATATTACTTCTCCATTTCTGGCTTACTTTTTTGCAGTTTCAGACATAACAGTAAGACAGAAAACCACTTTTCCAGCAGAGTGTGTTTGAGGAAGGTTTTGAACAAACAAAATTAAAAAGATAAATGAGAGTGATAATACTTGGCCCTTAAACAGGTCTTTCCGTTTATAAATCCCAAGGATGTTTTTAGCATGCTATCAATACAATTTCACAGATTAAAAAAAAAAAAATATATATATATATATATATAAAAGGATCAACATTTCAAAAAGACTCCTTCAGAGATCTGATCCTCATCCTTTTTGGTAAATCTCTTAAGATACAAATGTTCATCATAAGTTGTCTGAGTAAAGTACAATTAAAAAATGTTTTGAAAGGAAACATCTCTATATAGAATGTGATTATTTTAGCACTTTTAGAGCAAAAGATATATTTTAGTTACCATTCCAAACAATAATGCCAGTGTCTCATAGTCAATCCACTCCACCACTTTGACCATACTTGGCCTCTGCAATCAAAAAATACAATTACAAGTGAATGCCACCTAACTTGTGATTAGCTGTGACTTACAAACTCCACTTAATTGATGAACCATTTAAATAAATGTGATGGAAATTAATAAGTGTTCCTACAAGCTACATAAAAAGGACTCTTTATTATGGCCATTACTACTATTATTATTATTATTATTACTAATTCAAAGTACTGCTGGCATCCTAAGTGAGTCATTATCAGGCTATTGGTTGGTCTAGTTGTTCCTTACATAACATTACAGAAATAAAAGATAACTAAATTACTTGGTACATGCAGTTTCTTTTTTAGTAAGAGAACAAAAGCATACCACTTCACCTGTGAACAAACTGGAGGGAATTAAAGGGAAGAGAGTAATGATATGGCTATGAGAACAACTGAGAATATCAATCTGAGGTTTCACTATATATCAACTAAGAGTAAGCAGCAGGTGAAACAAAAGGGTTGGAACATGCAAGCATGAGATGTAATTATTTAGGGTAGCATAAAGCAATGCATTTCCATTTGTGTTTGCTTGGTAGCCTAACATTACTGAAAATAACAGTGTTAAACTAATGCTGGATTAAGCTGAAAATGGTTGTAGTCAGCTTCCTTCAAATCAGAACAAAAAAAGCATCAAGTGATTTTTTTGTACTCTCCTTGTCTATACATTAGCCTGACCTGTCTTCCCACCCCAGTTTCTGTCCTACTATTTCTCTTTCTTAAAAACCACTGCTTTGCCATGTGCTCAGTTGGAACTGGGCAAACATGGAAATTGATGATACCTGCCACCACAGCCAGAAACAAAAGGTGAGCTCACAGTTTGACAACTTACCTCCCCAACAATGGCTAAGGCGGCTAAAGCAGCCAAAGAGCCCAGCATGGCTGCAAGGGTCCTGTGAACAATCTGCAACAAAGGATAAGAATTGACCACAAACTCCTCTAAGTATCTCCTTAGAATTAAAAAGGAGTGGGAGAAAAGATAAAAACTCATGTAGGTAATTCTTTTTTTGGTTTGCTTGAGGGTTTTTTTCTGAACAAAGGATGGTTAATTACTTTGCTATTAAAAACAACAACAAAAAACCACAAACAAACAAACAAAACCAGAAACCAAATGAAACAAAATTAAAAACCAACCAGCTGAAGCCTTGCCTGTGCAAACCCTTCTAGGAAGTCTCATCTCTAATATCCTGGTAGAGAAGGGACTTCAGCACCAGTTTCTTATATTTGCGAGTAGGTGACCCAAAAAGAAAGCAATTCATCTTCCCTAATTTAAGGATCAAAAAGCCTGGTCCTGTTGGCTTCCCTTCACATCCCATGGAAAGAAGGTGCATGCCCAGGAGGTGATCCTGTAGTAGGGACTTATTCAGCAAGTGCACCCTGAAAATGTGCTTTATCTCTCCAGGAACTCATCCGTAGTTATTTAATCCTCTATGTCTGGAAGATCACAGATTGCGTAAAATAACTCGGCTAAAGTAAGCATGTAATTAATGAAAATCACACTACAAAAGACCGAATCTAATTACCAGCTTTCACTATTAATGTGTTTAAATATTATTCCAACACAAGTTAAAATTATTGTTGAGAAAGAAATAAAACAGTCTAGAAATATTTTATTTGCTGCTAATTTCATAAGAAATATTTTGCTGATAATGAAGAATAGGATGAGAGTGTCTCAAGGCCCCCCCTTGTTTGTAAAGGAAAAGCAAGATTTGGCTTTGTTTTTTCTCCTTGATTAGTTTTAATGGAAATGGTAAAGAACTACATAATTTAGCAAATTACTAAAAAAATTAATATATAAATTAATTAACTTAAGCAAAAAAATTATCTGTCTCGTTCTCCAGTTTACCTTAAAAATGCACTGAAGAATAACCCATGCATGGCCACAGAGCAAGAGATCAGACCAAGATTTTTATGCCCTAATGACCTACTTGTTCAGAGCACAGATTACAGCTCGCACCAGCTCCTACAGAAATGTGTATGATAACCCACTGGCTCATGTTGGATTTCCCTTTCAGTGCATTGACATGTAAGCACACTTATGGCCCTTCTGATCCTGCAAAGCTGGGGAGCATTTGAGAACATTCCATAACTCTTCTGGCTGGCAGTCAGGTGCAGCAATTAGACCTTACAGCTCTCTCCAATAACAGATGCCAAGCAGAGCTGTCCATTAGGGAAGGGGATCAACATCCTTCCAGAGCCAAGCTCAAGTGTAGGCAACAGGGAAATCCTCAGCTGGCCTCAAACTGAGGGTTTTCTCCTCGTGCAATGCCCACCCACGTTAGATAGCTCTTTTGCAGTTCTCAGAAAGGTATCATAAGTTTTCTGAGATTTGTTTAGCTACAGAATTTTTGCATATTTCCAAATTTGCTGTCAATGTTGTGTACTTAATTGCTGGCATTGGGTTGACTGCATTTTCAGTTTCCAAGAGTTTGCTGTCACCTATGGGTGAAGTTTGCTTTAATTTATGCAGAAAGAAACTGAACAAATTGAGTCATCTGTCAGTTCCTTCATTTCAGTGGTTTTTCAATAAGGATATACAAAAGTATATCCTGAAGAATGAACAAGGTACAAAGCATTATTATAAAAAACTTAGTAAAAATACAAGTCTTCATTCCAGCAAACTATCAAATGTAAGTCATAAGGTAATGTAAAGCCTAGAAAGAACATTTATGTAAACTCTGAGACATGTAAATATTCAAAATTTGATATTTAGGAAGCTTTAGGAAATAATAGATTACTCTCATTAATTTTCTTTTCACAGAAAATAAACCCCAAACAGATAACGTATTTTGCAAAGGTATGTTTAAAAACTTACAAATGTACAAGTTAGGAGATGCAGGTTATGAGTTCTGACATTCCTTGAACCACAATTCCATCTATTACATATTTGGAGGGCATTATATTAAGCAAAATTCCATTATTATTCTTTAGAAAAATAGTACAGATGATCAAACCCTTTTGAAGATTGGCAGGAGGATGAGTATCTTTTCAGGATGAATTGTGAAATGTATCCATAAACAACAGCTCAGGTAGAGAATTGAAAGGGCTCAGAAATAAATTAAGACAGTGACTAAATCCCAGGAAAGCTGAGAGATTTAGTGAACTTCTGGATCGAAAGACATTTTTAAAGGTTAAGTGAGAAATCGTCTCTATTCACCTGATCCTTCTCCCACTCGAGAAAGTGCATACCTTTGTGCAATGACCACGGAGATGAGAAAGACAGAACTGATGAGGAGGAAGATACAAAAATTTTAGCATAAAGTTTGCATGCTAGAGCTCCCCACCTCCCATTCCAACTGCAAACCTTATAAACTCTTTCCAAAAAGGGCGTCTTCATCATCACCATCACCTTTATTTTTGTCTGAAGAATATCTAGCAGGGCTACTTACTGCAACAGCAAAGGATAAGGCTCTTGCCTTTTTCAAAGGGACAGTAATACCAGTACAAAGGGCTACTGAAAACAATGCAGCTCCAATTTCACTCTTTACAGAGCAGGGTTCAGTTTAGATCTCACTTATACAGGTCATTACAAGGCTAAGAGATGAAGAAATTTAAGGAAAAAAAAAAAAAAAGGAATGGATATTTACAGTATTTAATATAAAAAAATGAAAATACCCAAAGCTGCAACAGTGAAACAACAGTATCAACAATTTATCTGTGTTGATAGCAACCTCAGAGTCAATTCAGAGTAAGTGAAGACTAGGAAAGGCTACTATAGAAATTTTGTTTCATAATTCTTTGTAGAAAGTTTGTTTCATGATTGCCTGTTGTGTGATAAACACAACGTGCTGACAGCTGATTCTAACAGTTTCCATACTCTTAATTCAGGAATTCATTTTAAAGTAAGAGATTAAAGCTACTCAAGTAATTTATGCCACAAGTCTTTTTGCTTGATACTAATTAACAATATACAGTTCTAGAACTATAATGCAAATTGGATTTAGGAAGCCTAAATCTTTCCCAGATTTAAATTTATTTATCTCTTTGAAAGTGCTTTGGAATTTTTGCACTGAGTTCATCAAACAATTTGGTAGACTGCAACAACATCATTATAAAAATTATTCTGAATACCAGACACTAAATCTTGTATGGTGTTCCAGGAGGCAAAAGGAAAATACTTAGAAGCCAATTGAATGATGACCTGGGTGCTATTTCAGAGCATACCTTTCCCAGCTGAAATCCAGGACATTCGTATTCCTAAATTGTGTTTCTGAAGATATTTGGTAAATGATATATTGTACCAAACATTTTATTTCCACAAGTCCTTTGTTATAAGGGAGAATAGCAGTTGAGAGATGAGTGTCAATGATTTTAATGCAAAGCTTCAAAAGGAGCCCCTATTCATTTCTTATCCATTTTGTCTCCAGTGAAGCCTGTTTTATTAAACTTCTTATTTTACTGATAAATTAATTTACATTTGATAGAGTGGAAACATCGCTGCATTTCAACAGCAATACAGTTATTACCAAGCCTACATCCACATATGGGTATTATGTATTTTTCACCTACCTCCAGAACTTATAAAATCAACAGCCAAATCCTTATTAGACTTTATAAAGTCTCTAGTTTATTTCTTAATTCTCAGGGGACAAGGAGGGAGAGAAGCAAAATTTACCCTAGGATAGGTTTTTTCTGATTTTATGTTTTGTATCTATTCCTTGTTATGTTTTAATAAGCATTTATTGGGTTAAAGGAAGACATCCTCAGCAGTGGAAGAGGTTTTTTCCAAAGTTTTCCCTAAAGATAATCAAGACAGGATTAGCCTAAATGCCTCTGAAAATGTGCTCCTCAGTCACCTCCCTTGATGGAGTAATCTTATAATTTACCATCATGTATTTTACAAATTCTGGTGGTCTGCTTTGCCTTGGACTATTCCAGTTGTTTTAGCAGGATACAGATAAAACTTCAGTCTTTTTTTTACACATATTTGATTCACTCTTGAGCAGATCAAAATAAGTGGCTCAAAAAACCCACATTTTGGAAAATTAATGCAGAAGTCTAACACTATCTTCAGAAGCTGAAATCAAAAATGGAAACTGCAGGAAAAAAATGGTAATTTAGCTTTAAAATTTAGGTAATTTTTCCTAACTGTCAAGCAACAGGACTGAAAATTTGGGTTTAAGATAGAAAACAAGGGTCAAAAACTTGGAACTCCGCCTTGCTGTAGATCCACTTCAAAGCTGAATGGCGCCAAATTCTTAATTCATGGAAATTTGCATTATTTCTGACAAATTGTACAATTTGGACACAATGAAGCAACAGACTAGAAATATAGGATGCAGTCAGATACAAAGGAGCTCAGAGCAGAAGAAAAAGAAAGTCTGTGATGCCAGACCTATTTATTTGATTTTCCACATGCTCACCTCTAGTACAGAGACTGACCAGTACCAGGTAGTGAAAGCATAGCACACACACACCCCTTCAGGTGGTGATGGCAGCTAATGTTTTAGCTCCTCACCCTCCTGCCCCCAGTTTTCTCCCTAAAAAAAGCTCTGCAGAAGCAACTCTGCAGCTCCCTCAGCCATGGGGCACTGTGTCCAGTGCATGGGAACTCCTCACAGGGGATGTGCCTCAACAGTTTGTGCAAAATGAATGATAACGGAAAATTAATTGCCTTAGAATTACCTAGTTAAGCAGTAGTAAGTAAGCTCTGTAGGGATTTTAATGAGGCAAAAGAGAGCTGCTTCACATAGCTTAGAAAGTGTGGCATGCTAGTGCAGTGTGCAGGGATGGGCTAGAGCAACTCTTGAGGCTGCCTGTAAGGTACACTGGTGAAAGATGATGTGCATCAAGAATCCCAAAGTGACTCCAAGCATCACAAAAATCAGCAAGACCAGTTTATCTGTTTTTCATCTGTATCTTATTCATATCTTCATCTGAAGATTAGGACACTATTTTTATGTG